TCACCCCCCACATCTCTGGCCTGTACCCCAGCTCTTGTATGCATAAATAAATCAATCTTTAAAAAAATAATAAAAAAATAAAAAACATATACTCATCAATCTATACTCACCAAATGAAGGAACACCAAAATACATCAGACAATTACTATCAAATCTCTAAAAAGACATTGGGGAAATACATATGGCTTTAGATAATTCAATATCCAATTCTCACCAATAGACAGATCAAGACAGAAAATAAATAAGGACACAATCATCCTAAACAAAGAACTAGCTCATAGAGGTTTTAATAGACATTTAAAGGACACTACACTCCAAAAAAGCTGAATACACATTTTTTACTAGGCACACATATGTCATTCTTCAGGATTGACCACATACTGGGTCTAAAGTATAAAGAAATTCAATAAGATTGAAAGCATATCAAGTATCTTCTCTGACTATAAAGACACCAAACTAAAAATTAACTACAAAAAGAAAATGAGGAAATACTCTAATACATGGAAACTGAAAAACACACTACTGATGACAACTGAGTTAGCGAGGGAATCAAAGAAAAAAAACAAAAATATTTCGAGGAAATGATAAAGAGGAGAAAACCCTCCAAAAAAGCAAAAAGCAATATAGTAGGAAAATATATATAAATACAGTCCTGAATTGATAAACTAGAAAGAGCCCAAATAAACAACCTTGTCTCTCAACTCAAGGAACTAGAAAAAGAACAGCCACAAAAAAAAAAAAAAAAAAAAAAAAAGCAAAAGCCAGTAGAAAGAAGAAAACAATAAAAATTAGAGCAGAAGTAAAAAAGTAGATATTAAAAAGACAGTCTAGAAGATCAATGAATTCAAAAGCTGTTTCTTTGGGGCCTCCCCTGGTGGCACAGGAGGTAGCGCACAGTGCTGTGAGGCTCTTCGCAGCCTCTGCAGCACTGGTTCGATCCCTGGCCTCCAACGAGGGTGCCACATGGCACGGCAGACCTCTCCTGTCTCGCCTGCTGCTCCCCTCAGCAGTGTATTTCATCAGTCTGCCTGTTCTGTTCCCCACTCTGTCTCTGGTGAATCCTCTCACCCTCCTGCGAATGTGGCCTGTACCCTGGTTCTTGTATAAATAAATAAATAAATCTTTAAAAAAAAAAAAAGCTTGTTCTTTGGAAAAATTAACAAGACAGACAAAACTCTAGATAGGTTCATTAAGAGGAACAGGGGAAAAAAAAAACCTAAAATAAATGGGATCACAGATGAAATAGGAGAAGTTACAACAGACTCTGCCGAAATTCAGAGGATCAGAAAAGACAAACTTTAAAATCAACCCTCCAAAGCTGACCACAGATCCGAAACATCTGAGTGGGTAGGAAGAGGGGTAAGGGAAAGAAGGAGGGACAAAATGGAGGGGGGTGAGCTCCACCAACTAAGGTGGAGGATTATGGGCGATTTTGTGGTGGGAGAACCATGATGACCACACCTGAGGGAGAAATCTTTTTTTTTTTTAAATATTTATTTATTTATATAAGAACCGGGGTACAGGCCAGATGTGCGGGAGGGTGAGAGGATTCACCCGAAACAGAGCGGGGAACAGAACAGGCAGACTGACTGAAATACACTGCTGAGGGGAGCAGCGGGCGAGACAGGAGAGGTCTGCCCCACCATGTGGGTTGCTCTGCTGCTGGCAGGGATCAAACCCGCACCGCAGAGGCTGTGGACAGCTTCACAGCGCTGCGCTCAACCACCTGCACCACCAGGGAGACCCGGGAGAAATCCTTTATTGTGAAAAAAAATGAACAAGGATTTAAAATAATGGTAGTTCAATAAAAATATATTTAAAATAAAATAAAATTAAGAAGTGGCTAATAGTGGCTAGGATTGCCTCAGGGCAGTACTAAGATTGCCTGATTGGTTTAAAAGAAGTTGAAATAGGTATCAAATAATTTTGTAATCAGTGTTTGCAGGTCTACCAGTGTATTTTTTCAAATACTATTTACCCTAATTGTTGCTAACAGCTCTGGGTGTAGTTTTAACCAGCATGCTGACACCCACTCTGAGGCCATCAAATCCGTGATCCACCTATGGAAAATAAAAAGGAAATAAGAGCTTCTTTACCATTCAGCCAAAAGCAAAATGATTTGATTTTAGCCTTCTTGAGTGTGGTGTTTCTTTTCAGTTTTAAAAATTGTTTTCTGCCATGCTCATGTCTTATATCAGAATTGCAGTGATTAAGAAATGTTGAACAAATGTTTGAAAATGAGAAGATTAAAAGAATATCACTTTTTTCAATTTGGAAACGATGGGGCTAACTTTTATGGGTTTCATGTTCACTCTGAGGTCAAGCAATGAGATCATTGCTATATGTAGAACACCCCAGAGAGGATGTCCAAAGAAGACAAGGCTTTGATCACCCGCATTTTAACAATGGGGAGCATTCAGCTGGAGTTGCAGAGGGAGGCAATAGACATGTTGATGTGAGAGGCAACCACTTTGTCATTCATGAGCAAAAACTTATTTGAACAACTGTAAACCATCTATTTCATATTTAAAAGGAGTTTGGTAAATTTCAAACACTGATTAATAACTGTTGGGGAAGTTATCCCCACTGTATTTTAATCATTGTGATAGTGTTTTAAGGCAATGAAAAAAAAATTGGAATTGTTAGATATGGGTTCAATTTTCAATTTGCCACTTCACAACTCTGCAAGACTGAAGAAGATCCAGAGTCTTTCTGTGTCTCAGTAGTTGATTCTTTAAAGTGGGGCCAATACTATACATGTCGAGTTGCTATAGAGACCAAATAAAGCAATTTGTATAAAATATAAAAAATACATGATGCAGTTCCTATTGCAGATATTTCAAAGTATGAACCAAACTCTCCAAAAACATATTATTTTGAATTGTGCTTTAAAAAGAGGGGAAAATACAGAAATAATGAAATCTCACCCCAATGCAAGTATTACTGACCCCAACTGAGAGATCTGAGACTCGAGCAGTTAAATAGCATGGCACCGTCATACAGTTAGTAAACCTAGTTAGTAAATACAGTTAGTATTTACTATTTACTAAATACACCGTCATACAGTTAGTAAATACAGTTAGTAAATCTCAGATTTACTAAAAAACACATAAAATAAGCCAATACACACTTCTTCTTAACATTAATAAAGACATTTATATTCCAAAACTAACTCATTCTGATGATTTTCAATTAAGAGCTTACCATATAGTGTCTGCCTCAATTTCCTTTTATGAAATACAGTAAACATAATTTGAGCATAGTTTAAATGAAGTGTCCAAATGGGATAAAACAGGTCACCTGGGAAGTTAGATTTACAAATTACAGAAACTCAATGCCTAATTTGTACTGAATGGACACAATTTTTTAAGAGGAAAACTTGAGGAAACAATGACTGGTCTATCTATTCCATCATTTTTTCTACAGTGGAAGTAGTGGAGATTATGCTAAGTGAAAATAATCCAAAAGGACAAAGACAAATAAAAGATTGAGGGGAGGGAGTGGAGAGGAAAGGAGAGAGAAGGCACAGTGGTTTGTGGTGGAGTGCCATGTTGGTGGGCTCAGTGTGCTAACTTACACCTGAAGAGGTGGGATCCTATATTGTACAGCTTTGAGATACACACACACACACACACACACACACACACAAATACCCACCCATATTCAATTTTTCACTTCCACATTGTTTTAAAAGATTCTATTTGAAAGATCTTTTATTAAAAGGAACTTAGAGAATCTGTTAGCCCTGTGGCTTTTGAAGGAAATGGTTCTGAGAAAACATCATGGCTGAAATAGAATCTCGAGTCAAGGTGAATGTAGCAATTAAATTTGTCACTGGGCCATCAGACTGGAGGAATGATCTTTTTTCAAAAAGTAAACATTTTTAAAATGAGTGTGGTGTTGGGCAGGATTAAAGACAGGGTTGGATGTAAGGGTGTACATGAAGGTGGAGGTGTTTTTTTTAACACTGTAGGAAAACTTCTGGAGCACAGAGTGTGTTCTGACAAGTAATTTAAACATTTTTGCCTTTGAAACACAGTGTATATATATATGGTGGTAGTTAAAATCACAGACTAGACTCATATAGTCTGGTATCAAATACTAGCTTTGGCACTCCTGATTTTGTAGTTTTAGGCTTTGGGATTCTATTTTCTCATTTGAAAATCAGGAGTAATTACTGCTTCATAGGGGTGTTATGATTATTCAGCAAAATCATCAGTAAACATTGTTGGTGTTATTATTACTATTTGGGTTATTATAATTATTATTATTATTTTCCCTTTACAGCCCAATAGATCATGAAATGGTGTACAACATATTTATATAAAACATCATTTCAGGTTTTTTTAAAAAGAGATATTAAAAGTGTTCATGAAGTGAAAAGGTCATAAAACCAAAACTTCTAGTAAACAATCATGAGTTTATACATATTTTCAAAATTGCACCAATTTGCACTCATCATAGGAGAGAACATATCGATTTGCATGTATTTCAAGTAACCATCTTAGGCACGCTGTGCCCGACACTGACAGCATTCTCCCCTGGGAAGGTGGCTTCTGTAATTGCAGTGAATGGCCATTCTATTTGTAGATGTTATTTCCTACAGCATGCAATCTTTCTGTGATTATTTTATTTTAAAAATACTTATCCTCAAATTAGTTAGTCTTCTGGGCTATAAAGGAAAATATTCTACAGCACAACAAGGACCTCAAAAATAATATGTATTTGAGTTGAAAATAGATACTGTTTTACCAACAAAATAATCTGTTTACTGCAACACAGGTAACAGGAGAAGCATTTCAGTGCTACTAAAGACCTTCAAACTACCACTTAGGCCAAAAAAGAAAGAGAGAATATAAAAGAAAAAAATAAATAAAACCAAAAGCACTAATATCATTTGAACTGCTGAGGCATTTTTTTCTCCTTCTCCACACTATTTCTTGCTTATAAACAAAGCACAATTTTCACATCAATAACAAATCAACAGCAAGAGGACTTACCTTCCTTTAACCAAGAAATGTTATTTTTATCATTTTCAAAATGCTCAGCTGTTCTTACTTTTATCTTTTCCAGCTCAGTTTCTGACATCTAAGTAGAAACAGAATTTGTGGTATAAAAAATTCATTAAGAACCCAAATTTATAACATTGAGTTTTATATTTAGAGACAACTGCAATATTATAGGAAAATTTTATCTTTATAGTTTTTCAGTTCACTGTTTAATGTTAAATGCTATATTTTATCCATTTGTAGTATATTAAAATATTGACACTGAAAACTTTACATGCTTCATTTTTCATCAATAAAAGTGCTATAAGATCTTACCATTTGTGAATATAAAAGAATACCCGATTAACAACTAGCCACCGATTTGTAAAAGACATAAAACTGCTGCTTTAATGTTCTTTATAGTCTATAGAAAAGCATGCTACAAAGTGATTTTCAAAAGTATAAATACTCATGAAACACAAAAAGATCTTTTCAGCAATTTATTGGGTTGAATGAGACTCTTATGGTCTTAGCCAAGCCAGGTAGAGCTCCTGAAGGTGTGGAGACCTATCCCACACCTCAGTGCATTGCACTTGACAGTCAAGGCCTGCATCCAATGAGCTAGGACGCTCCATTTGAACTAGCACCTCAGTATACTCACCTGTGTGTTCCAAAAAGAGGAGGCACAAGGTGTGGGGCAGGGGAGCAGCGTGGTGATGCTCTGGGCAAGCGTCCTGTTGTCTCTCTATGTCCAGCATTCCTCTTCACTGCCAGAAGTGAGCGGAGAAGCAAACACTCCCTCCCTGGGTGGTGCTAGATTTGTACTGCTGCCAGATGGATCCAACTTGCGGCTGAGAGGTTTCTTTCTCTCTCTCTTTTTTTTTTTTAAGGTAATATAAAACCTGTGGTTCAAAAACAATAAAAACCTTCTACAAGCTAGCACTTATTTAGAATGACACTCTGCAAAATAGGGTAAAAATAATGAAGTCTTTTCAAAACAACAGAGTTTCTCTGGTCCCCTTTTTTCCACACCTGCCATTCATCACTTTGGACTAATATTACAGCATGAAGAAAATATATATATATAGAAATAAACAGACCACTTGGATTAAAGGAAAAGAAGGGGAATCTTTAAAGTTTTATTGTCTAGAAATTTGTCCTGCCACTAATATTTTGAAAAGCAAGTTTTTCTAACTTTTTACAGGCTACAAGAAAACATTTCCAGTTCTTCTGATAGTCTCCAGTTATGACAAAAAGGTTTTGGAGTAACATTCCAAAGAGGGTTTGTCATTAAATTCTTAGTCAAAGATAATACTGTTTCCCGAGAAAGTTAAAAACACACACAGAGAAAAACATAACCCTTAGATATGCATTGTGGTAAACAGGCCAACAGTCCTAAATGTTGTCATTTCTTTTTTTATTTCATCATGGAAAATTGGTTAATTTCCTTCCTTTGGTGTCCTTACCTGGTCAACTGTCTGTTATCTCATACCTTATGCCCATTTCACCTTCTAGTCCAACTTCATGTCTCCTTTTACTTCAGTTCCAATTTCATTGTCTTTAGAAACTTACTAGATCAGCCATACCATATTAACTTTCAGCATCTCCCATTACTAGTGGGAAAAATTTCCAATTCCTTAGACCTAATCTAACTCCATTTATAGCACAGTTCCCTGTGCTGCTCCCTCCCTTCCTCTGATCCCTCTGCCTCCCTCTTACTTGCAGTATGTCTCTAATTTATAATTTATAAAAAGAAGCCATGTGTGATGAAGCCAGGCAGAACTGGCATACAATATGAGGCCCAAAATGAAGTGCATAGGTAAAGAAGCCCCAGAATTCAAATGGATCTGTTTAGAATCTAAGGGAATATAAAACATTTGGGGGGCTTCCTTGGTGATCTAGGGGTTAAGTCTCAGCTTGAGTTTGATCACTGGCCAGGAAGCTAACCCACATGACACAGCAGACCTCTCCTGCCTCGTCCTCTGCTCCCCTCAGCAGTGTATTTCAGTAAATCTTGCCTGTTCTGTTCTCCACTCTGTCTCTGGTGAATCCTCTCACCTGCCTCCTGTCCCCACACCTCTGGGCTGCTCTCCAATTTTTCTACACAAAAAATAAATTTAAAAAAACCCACTTTTATTATGCTTGATCTTACTTATATTTTAAGTTATTTTTTATATTTTTTTAGTTTTTTTTAATTTTTTACATCATTGTCCATTTTTAAACAATATTTACTTCCCCACCCCCTCAGGTGTAGTCCCCATAGAGTTTCCTTCACCAATGCACTTGGGCACCCGTGCACCATCACCTCAGTCCCCTGTGCTCCTCCCTCCCTCCCTCTGATCCCTCTCCTGCCCCGTCCCCTGCAGGATGTTTCTGATTTATAATTGTCCATTTTTGCTCTGTTGTATTTTGTACTGTTATTATTTTTTTATAATGATGTCTTATTGGGTTCCCCTGTATTCCTGCCAGAAGGAAAAAGAAAAATATCCGATGGTTTCACTTATAGCAGGAAAAACCCACATTTTTAGAGTCCTCTGTCCAAATAATATCCATTGTTTACATTTAAAATGATAACTAAAGAATTCATACCCAAAGATGAGGCCTCAAGCTTCAAGTTTTCTGGTGATTGTTTTTCCATTTTCTGTGTGCAGATAGTTTGATTGAACTCCTATGTTACAACTATAATCCTTTTATTTTCATGCATGCATCAATATTTTGACCTCCTATTCAGTCCTATCCAGACACTGACTGTTTAAGGGCAAACTATCTTGCAGAAGGCAATCTTTGCCAAGAGAAAAATCTGTGAAATCATTATATGTTTCACATTATTATTTTGCTAAAATAAAATTGAATGTATGAAGGTAGAGCCTTCTTTAAAAAACAAATAATTTTGTGCTATCCTACTTGGGATTTCTGATTGCCTTTAAAATCATCATATTGTCACTTGCTATTGTTTGTGAAACAATGAAATTATATGTGTAAAGTAACAATATGATACTAATCAATGTGTAAAGAAGTCACCAACTCAGATTATTGGATCTGACAACTATAATTTATAGAGTAGAGCTCTGTGAAGTATAAGTGGATTAGAGCCAAATGGAGAGATACAAGAAAGTATACTATTCTTTTGAAAACATGTTTTCTGCTACAGAATGGAATCTCTATATAATTTAGTACAGTTAATTAAGTATTTTTCAATAGTCATTTTAATGACCAATATATGTAATTAAATATATATTTAAAAATATCTCTTTGGGTAAATGATGAAACTAAACCCCCCCCAAGAAAACCCTAGAATCCTGGGAGATATTTATGTTTAATCTAGCAAGTATGATCAACTTTCAATATAGAAGAGTTTTGGCATATTTCATGATTACTAAAATAAAAATACAAATTATTACTAAAATAAAATGATTCCAACAAGATATTTTTGAAAGAGTAATTGATATGTAATCAAGAGAATAGCAGGTATGTAAGTTTTTCATCAAGAAGCTGTACAACAAATCATTAACTTCTCTGAGCACCATGGGTATGCAAAAAAAAAATGTATGTTGATAAAAAATATTGTCTTTGGGATTTTTGTGATCTTGATACAAAAATTCACCAGAATAAATAAGCATTGATCCAAAGTATCAAAGATAAGGGTAAATAAAAGAAGAAGAAAATCCATATTTGTAGCTTGGATTTTCCCAGGGTAAGGTTCCACTTACCACCAGAAGTCATACCAATTCCAGAATTCATTAGATGTTAAATCTCATCAAAAGTTTAAGTTTTACCTAAGTGTCCCCAAACAGATGATTGGATCAAGAAGATATATATCAATATATAAACATGAGATATCATATATATATTTACACACACACAGATGCACACAATGGGATATTACTCAGTGATCAAAAAAGATAAACTCATGCCATTTGTGGTAGCATGGATGGAGCTGGAAGGGATAATGCTAAGTGAAATAAATCAAGAGATAGATAAATACCAGATCTTGTCATTGATATGTGGAATATAGAGTAACTAAACTAAGTCAGGTAAAGACAAACTTAAAAACTAACCCTTAAAAGTTGACTATAGAACTTAAGCATCTATAGGGTGGAGGGTGTAGGAAGGGGTGAGAACAAAGAGGAAATAGACTCTAGTAGTGGACTGTGGGTGATTTGGCGGTGAGTGCACTCGACGATAATACCTGATGGAGGTATGCAAATATCTCAATTAAAAATAAAAAAATCTATTTAATAAAGTTGAGGCTTAGGAAACATCAATGGAAGCTATAAAATTCATCAAGTTTTATCCTTACATCATGCTAGGTCATGAAAGAAAGCTGTTGCTCTTGACCAAACTATGTTTATACATTATGAAGTTATTTTCCTGCTCAGACCCTAACTGTCATTGAGAAAAGATGTAAATGAATGTGTGAATGATACTTACTAGGAGTTTTAGTATGAATATTCTTGGTTCCCCTGGAGATTACTCTATGCATCCTTAATATGGTCCACATGGCATAAATACTGGTCTACTTCATATTAAATTTAATAACTATGTAACTATATAATTACATATACACATTCTCATTTGTATTATTGTTTGCATATATTGTATATCTACAAATGCTATAATCTGACAAGCAATGTTCATGTGTATGTTTGTGTGTTTCAACAGTTATCTTTTTAAAAAAACATTAGAAGAAAAAGAGATAATTCTTTATGTTTACCATGTTTACATAGTTGCATTTCTGCTTCTCTTCAATTCCTTCTAGTAGAACTGAATTTTCATCTGATGTCACTGTTCCCCAGTCTAAGAAATTTTCTTTTATCATCCTTTGAATTTTAACTCTTCTGTGACAAACCCTTAGAGCTTTTATTTATCTAAAAGTATCTTTAGTTTACTCTAATTTGAGAAGGATATTTATCCTACAGGAATTCTTGATTGCAAGATCCTTTCTTCCTTCTTTCTTTATACTTGACACCATTGCTATTCATGTTTCCTTTTAACATGTTTTTTGTCCCTTTCTGGACATTCTTCTTTTTTTTGATTTTCAGCAGCTTGAATATGATGTGTTTGTGTATAGTTTTTCTTTGTATTTTTATCCTGTTTAGATTTTGCTGAGATTTTAGTTTCTGCATTTTGATGTTTTTCACAAAATTCAGGGCATTGGAAACCATTATCTTTAAATGTTTTTCATACCTACTTCTTTCTCTTTTCTTTTAAGCATTCTGACTACACATATATTAGACCACTTACTACTATCATAAAGATCACAGAAACTCTGCTTATTTTTTCCAGCCTCTTTCTTCTATAATTCTCATTGAATAATTTCTGTGAGATTTGCATTCAAGATCCATTAATCCTTGGAGATTGTAAAATCTCCAATCTGGTCCATTGTTCACTTTAGAGAAATTTTCATTACTCAAACTTTACAGACACTTGGTATTATGTATGGTTGTTATGTTTTTGTTTATAATATCCATCTCTTATTTATTATCACATTTTTTCCTTTAATTTCTCAATCATTTTTAGTATAGCTAGTTAAAAGTCATTATCAACCATAGTATCTGATCTGTATCTACTAATCTACTATTCACTGCTTGCTTTCCTGGTTATGGATTACATTTTCTTGATTGTTCAAATGTCTAATTTTTTTTTATTATTATGTAATAAGCATTTTGGATCATACATTGTAAAGTCTGTAATATACTTCATTCATTTAAATGTTGCTCAATTTTGTTGTAGCAAGCAGTTACATTTCTGATGTATTCTGTTAAGCGTAATTTGATTTTTTTTTTTGTCTGGATTGGATCTATTTCAGTTTTTCCTCCTGATTTTTATGATGTAGTTCGTGCTAAAGTATCACTGG